ATGGGAGGAGGGCCTCAAGAACACGTAAAAAAGAAAAAAAGAAAACAAGTAAAAAGAAAGGTGCAGGAGTGATGCAGCGTTGACCACTCATTGACCGTGGAAATATTCTGCAATAATGATTCCTGGGGAAAAGTCAGCTGACCCCAGCCAGACAGCAGCAGCCTCATCAGCCAGGCAGGCAGAATAAGCACCAGCCATCCTGTTGGAATTTAGTCAGCCAGTATTCAAGAGCCACCCAGCATCCCTGAGAGGTTTCCCAAGCCCCTCTGGACAGCCAGTCCCCAGACCCCCAGCCCTCTGCCCCGTTTCACAAAACACTGAGGAAGGAATGCTGGCCAACCCTCGAGCAGTGAATGCAGTGAAGCACCCCACCACCTCAGCACCCTCAGAGTGTAAGGATAAGTTTTTTTTTAAAGTCTCATCCCTGTGCTTAAAAAGCTACCAAACTCCAAATATCCTGAGTTTAAATTAAACTTTTGTAAAATGTTTTTTGACTGAAAGGAAGGAAGAGCTTCATCACCCCCATTCCTAACTACACACCACCTGGGCTCTATGAATGTTTATACCTTATGATTTTTTGGGTCATTGCAATTTGAACCAAGGTTATAAGTCAAGTTTTTCTGGTTGGTTGCAGCTTACGCATAACAGTACTATATATCACTTTTATTGCTTGACATAACAGTGGCCTTTCATTGCTTTGTTCTGTAAAACATTAAGCCTTTTTGAGTTAACTTTCAGAGCACTGAAGAACTCATTCATTCAAGTTTTGTTAACACAAAAAGGTGTTCATTTTGTTGCCTTACAATTTTAAGTTGACCTGTTGTTTTGTTTTTTTCTACAGTGTGCTGCGACCTGGTATAGGGTGAGGCCGAAATGGAATTGGGGACTCATCTGGGATCTGAACCAGGGACCTCTTGCACCCAAAACAAGAATCATACCCCTAGACTAACAGGGGCTCACTGATATACATATAAGAGGTCGCTGAGCCACCATCTGAGATTGAGAGAGGCTCTCTTCCCAGACCTGCTGCCAGACCAAACACCAGACACCATTAAACCAGAAAACTGCAGGTTCATTTTCTTCCAAGGCTCAATTGCAAGTTGGGATGACGGCTTTAGGACAAGCAGACGCCAAAATAATAAATTAAACAACTAATGATTACAAGTCTAAATAAAGTTCAAAAAAGAAACAAAAATGCAGATGGGTACCATAACTCCCTACATTAAAACAGGAGAAAAGGGAACCTATCAAAAAGGAACTCATCTCCTACTTTCCTCAAGTTCACTAAGTCTAATAAAGCAGTCACCAGTTTAACAATAGAGATGAAACGAAGCAGAGTGTAGGTGAGTGGAGTGAAGAGTGCCAGGTTGGTCTGAACAGGTGTTTTTCCAGGTCATTTCAGAGGGGAGAGAGCCCTGAACGCACTTCAGATGGTTGCTTGGTGACCTCTTATAAACCAGTGCGCCCCTGTGTGGCCAATCACGGACCTGCACATAATGGGACACACAAAAGGGAAAAAACAAAATGCCAGCACAAGGCTCACAGACGGAATATTACGACTGAGGGTCAGAACAAGTGAACAATGTTACGCCTTTCTTCAGTTTATGTTTCACTACTGTGTTGCTTAAAATGTTTAGATGTTAATTATACAAATTATCAAAAACTACTGGCTAGCTGTTTTGCCAAAAGACCAATACAGGAGTGGTGGACAAAGTATAAAAACTGTATCTAAGCTAACAGAGAATTGTTTAATGTAAAAGCAGAAGTCCTCTATATTTCTACTTAAGTACAAAGATTTGTGCTTTTGATTGTAAAACGTAAGTAAAACGTGAAAGTTAATATAGTTATGCTATTATTTTAATGCACAATTTCTGTTAAGGAGATGTGTGGCTGCAGGCATAAAAACTGTAACAGTGTAATAACATAACTGTAGTAAGTATCAGTACTTTTTATACTTAAGTACACCTAAAAGCAAATACTTTTGTACTAAAGAAGAACTATTCTTTATTATTATATTCTTTATTTTCAGGATTGACTGTGGTACAAAAAAGGCCTACATAGAGATAAACGCTGCTCGTTTCAGCTCTGAGTGTCTTGATAGGATGAAACTGTATAAAATTGAGAACGCCCACCATTCTGTTGCTCATTTTGGTGGTTATTTGGTGGTATTTAGTTCAATGAAACCTTTCTTTCTGTGTTTGTCTTTAATAAAGTCTGTGACTGGTGAAATATATTTCTGGGTATTTCTCCACTTCATTCATCAGCTTCTCCTCACCCATCATTGAGACAAGCTCACCAGCAGGCAGTAATCAGCAAGATACTACAGTATTATCCAATGACAGAAAACAAGTGAAAAAACAACTGAACTTAAAAAGCTTCCAGGGAATCAAATCCCAGAATGTTGCTATCCAGCTAAAATTTCAAAACAGGCCAAAGTATCACCTTTCAGTCAGTGTATTTAGACCCTATCATTTGCCCAACAGAGTAACTGCACATCTGCCAGTACTGCTCTGGGGGCATGGATCTCCTGGGAGAATTATTTTTAATAGCTCAGAATGTCTGTTCATTGTGAACTTATACAGCAGCAATAAGCATAACATTTATAAAAACAAATACAGAAATGAAAAACAAATTAAAAAAGACTCTAGTGGCACACAGAAGATCTGTCCCTTCACTGTATTAGGCACTGACCTAATATATTTTACTATGCTATACATCCACTTACAACAAGAAAACAAAAACATCAAGCAAAGGTACTGAAGTCAAGCAATGCGTTTATAGATATGCTGCAGGTTGTAAATGTTATTTAAATGCACAGTCTATAGATTAATACCTGATTAGACCTGCTCCTTCAGCCCTATCAGTCTCGTTCAGCTCCTTTTTCTCCCTCTCCCTGTCTGTTTAGTAACATGTTAAGTTTGCTGTTAAACTCAGACTTACAAGAACTCACAGCTTAACAAGAGATTAATCAGCTCACTTTTGAACTGCCAAAAGTCTTCTCACCACACTGGCCTTCAGCTGTTAAAACAATTTTGTATGTCCATCTACAGGTTGAGGAATTGAGGGATATAAAGTTGTGTTATGATCAATGCTATGTGACCTTTCGCTGATATTAACCTACTATAATCAACAGTTTATGGTTACTACTAATGTGATTGTTTCAAATACTGAAGAGAAATACAGACACAAAGAATATGAAGAGGTGTCAATAATGGTATTTCTTATTTATTACTGGTATCTCTTTCATTCATTTACACTCTCATTTTCTGTGAAGGTACTTAAAATTCACGCTTGGAGTAAAATTAAGCTAAACTGAAACGTCAGCAAGCTAACCTCAGCGTTACGTAGCCTGTCCTCTTGAAAGTTAGCTAATGCTGTCTAGCAAGCAGCTGGTAAAAACTCAACAGCCAGCTACACTGACAATAATTTGTCACAAATTACAAGTATTGCAGGTAGGTTATCTTCACCCTGTAACTACTTACTATTTCACTCTGTATGTAATGTATTTCGAATAAGGCCTAATGTTTATTCTGGTACTCGTTTAGCCAAAATCCTGTCACAACTTAAGCAGGTGCCAACTGACATTACTACGCAGAGTGGGTCGCGCCATAGACCGTCCTCGAGATCTGATATAATTGGCTTACAACTTACGAGGTCTGATATGATTGGCCTAGCTGGGAGTTACATTTTTTTTGGGGGGGGGTTGGTTCACAGTATTGTGTGTGAAACTTGTCTCTCTTCTTCTCTAACTGAGCATGCCAGAAATTCTATTCTGGCTACATGAAGCTCTGTGAGACTGGATGCTGACGTATGAATCCTAATATGAGGCAATGGAAGCTATTTGTAACCTGTGTGCAATAGTGCCCACTTACGCAACTTCCCCAGGACTAACTCATGGTTTATTAACAACAAACAGGGTAAACATACATATTGCAGTACTTTAGTGGGCACTGTTCTAGGGCTGTTGTTTTAGCACCAAAAACTGGTCCATCAATTGCAATGATTTGCTATTTTACTCAGTCTACCGCAGCACTTTATTTTGATTGATTGAAAGGACTCATTTTTCTTTTAGAGGAATGCCTTCTCATATATCATGACTTGCCTTAGAAATTGCAGACTTTATAGTGGAGACTCAGAAATGCATAAGAGGCATGATGCATTTCTAAAGACAAATGATAACACAGGTGCACAAAAACCTAACTTGCAATAAGTGACCAATTCAATGACCATCCAACCTCAGACTGTCAACTGTATCTCAATTATGTGTGGGAAGGCCATTTGTCATGTTGCATATGATCATTGGATTGACTGCTTTTTAAAGAAATGGTTTCTTTTAGCTTAGTACAGTAGTGAGCAGTATGTCCACTGGTGTCTAGAAGCACAGCTTCCCACACAATTTCCTACACAGGTGTTTAACTGCAGACTTACAAATCCCACATTTTCTTGTCTGTCAGTATAGGACAGTCTGTCACTAAGAACTGCATTCTGAAACAGGCAGAAATCTCTAGTCAGACACCTGCTGTGAACTTCTTTGAAACACCCAGTATCTTTTCAACTGTTGCTCAAATTAACATTTCAAATGTGTTGTGTAGGAGGATGCAAAGCATAGGGCTTCAGTCACCTCAGAAACCCTGAAGAGTGCTTACCTCAATGACAGTAAAAGTGGACTGCAGCTCAGATCAGAGAGTTATGAACACTACTTGAAAGATATTTTGAAAGGCCTAGAAGAGGTGAACTGCTGACATATCTTCAATCAAAATGCATTCATTTCAAGTTCATGTCCTCAAATGTTTCAACTGCGGGCATGTATCAGCAAAATACTAAGCACATAAAACGAGACTCTGTGGAGGCCTTGGATTTCTCTACTGAAGTGGTGGAGAGAAAATTTAAAAGGTACTAATTAACAACATGAACAGCTGAATGACAAATTAACATAGCGCTGTGTTTTTAACCACTTGCGGGTAAAAAATCTTACTATAATATGGCTGTTGATCATCTTTAATATATGCATGTGTTTTCATACCAATGCAAGCTCCATCACATTTTCTGTAGATGTACCTGAGTACTGGGGAAAATGCATCCCAGCTTTGTCTACAGTGTACTCAGTTTATTCACATTAACAATAGGAGGCAGAGTATCATTACAGTACAATGTATTTTGAAGTAAAAAATATTTAATTCAACGTTGTGCACCATTCACAGACTCTACAGTGCAAATATTCTCTCTGAGCATCTTTAGTGGTAGAAATATTTGTACAATCTATCACTTCACTGAGGATACAACCTGCTTCAGATGTAATGAGAATTCTCCCCTAGTCTAAAAAGCTCTAGCCACTGCAGACATAATGTGTATGTGTATTAAGTCCATTATTCTTTGGATTCACTATTTAATCTATGAAATGGGAATTCTACCAATTGACATTTCATAGATAGATTCAAAATACTTAGAGAGTAATTCAGACAACTTTTTAAAAATGCTGCATAATTAAATAATTAAAACTGTAAATAAAGTTATTTAGAGTTGTGTGATGAGAAATGGTGCACTGCAGAACTTACCAACTTCGATTACTTTAGGATCTAGAAATCAGGGGTCTATTATGCACATATAGCCATTTTAATTAATATCCAAAATGAGTCTTTATATGAGTTTTTATATGTAATGTTTTTATTGGTAAAGCACTGGATGAAAATTAGTCTATTTCTTTTGTACACGTCTGGAGCGGTTTCCAACTTAAAGCTGCACTCTTACATAGTGCAGCTTTAAGTTGGAAACCACTCCATTCCTTATAAATGAGTGCTGATACAACTTCATCACTGTACTCTACTAGCTTGCTAGTTAGCACGCAAAAGTGCTACATGGCTAAAAAGAACAAACAGAAAGCCATTACACCATGGTGCTTTGCCAACTTTACAACCAGATTAAAAAATTATTCACAAATTTTCTCATTGCACTGCAAAGCTTGCATGGCTAGCAGATTAGCTCACTGAGGCTGCAGAGGGCAAGTGCATTCCATCTGAATAATCCAATTCTTTCTGTCTCCTCCTCCACTTCTGCTGTGAGTGGCCACTTGTGTAACGTAAGTTGAAGTGGGCAAGACCATGGTAAAAAAAAAAAAGTACTGAAACGGGTCCATAGACTTTTGCAGTCACATAAAGATGGATCTGCGATGAAATGAGGTAGAACACCTAACAAGGTAGAATCCAAGAGTAACAAGGTGGAATCTTTTTCTTGGAACACACGGTTAGTAACATATTTCATATTTTTAATTTTAAACATAAAGGTCTACTCTAACAGTTTTACTTCAGTGGTCCCAGATGGATCCATTCTCAAAAATGGGTTTTCTCAAAAAGGCCCGCACTGATTGGATATTGCTGATATCTCTGATCATTTACACTGCAATCAAAAAGCACTTCCAGTCCAAGGGGTCAGATGGTGGTTCTTATGTGGATTTATGAGGGATCTTCCTATAGAAAATATTCCTTGCTCAGACCTGCAGTAACATAGCAGGGTAAACATATTTTTCAGTGTTATCATTTTGATGCAGATATGTAGCAATTAATACAAATCACAATGTTTTTATCCTAATTATAATCAGGTATTACAGAGATATTCAAAGTAGAGCTTCTTTTAAACTAGGCTCACATGAATCACTGTCTACTCTGATACATTATCCAGATTGTCCCTCATGGTAATTTTAACAAAGATGCCATTCTTTGGTCCCAGGGTGGTACTGGACTTTAATTCAAGAGGAACCTGCAAGGCAAAAAGAAAGCGACACATTAGTGAAGATTTAACCACCTTTAGAAATCTGATTCTGATTGACAGTTAGTTGGTTATGTTTAGCAGAACGTCTTAGGTAAACCTATTTTTGAATACTGTTAAGCCTGTAGCTTTTGTAGGAGTGTAAAGTTTGCATACCTTAGTGTCTTCACAGGCCACCACGTTAAATGTCTTGAAGATGTTGACCAGAGCCATTTTAATCTCCAGCTGGGCCAGTCTCATGCCCACACAGCTGCGAGGCCCTGCTCCAAATGGCAGATACACAAAAGGGTGACGGTTGGCCTTGGCTTCAGGGGTGAACCTGAGACAGAGGAAAGGAAAGATATCAGCCTGCAGCCAGAACCTCAGCTCGAGCACAGGTGGCCAGATACAGTTCTGTTTACTCAGGTCCTTAGAAAGTCAGACAGACAGGACAGACTTAAAAATACCTTTAAAATATACCATCCATAAACTGAAATTATGGATGGTGCTTTAATCTAGTGTTTTGCATAGACCGCTGAAGTCGTGCACCATGCTGTAGTTCACATCATGCCCATATTAAGCTGATTTCTCTATGGGAGAAATTAATGGAATTCTTAAAGACGGTCCCAAACCAGGTACGTTTTGTCCTATGTAGATTTTTCTTCAGAATGTCACTGGATCCTTGCAGTTGAAATATGAATAATGTTTTCTATAAGAATAATAATAGTGCTCCTGCACACTGAAATGACATAATATATGAATATAAATAAACTGTAATCAGCTACTAACACTGTTGGCTACCACTGCAAAGCAACGTACATATTATGCTTTATAAGGATTGCTGGTTTGTTTGGGGTATTTCGGTGAGGTCTTTTGGTGACAGTCTTTTAATGTGAATTCAGTGCAGTGTTGGTTGGCATGTAGTACCAGTCATATTTTGGGTGCTTAACAACTTCATAATTCAGAGGTTCTGGTGACATTTAGAGGAAAATGTCTCCACGGCAAAACATTTTGGGTTTGGAACATTTTTGTTTGCCTCAGGGCGCAACAGCAGTGCCTCTAAAAACTGTACTTCATTTTTTCCATAGAGAAATCAGCATGGACCCAGAGTTCCTAATATGGGCATGACTGAGACTACAAAATGATGACAAACCTCAGAGGTCTATTTGCTTTTTTTATAGAGCTGTTAATACATCACATGGGATATTTGATGCCTGTGTGCAGTCAGTTTGCTCACATGCCACAGATGAGCTCAGAAATAAATAAATGACTGAATGGAAGAGCTCTTACCTTTCTGGGATGAATTTTTCTGGCTCAGGCCAATACTGTGGATCATAGTGCAGGAAGCCTGCTGGGATCTCCAGAGTAGCTCCTTTGGGCAGAAACTGTCCGTTCACCACGCAGTCCTGTTCAACTTCTCGTGCAAATCTGCCAAACAATAGAAGAGCAACATGAAAATACAAATGACTTTTTCAGAAGAGTGGAATCTGCTGTACTCAAAGCGAATGTTGCTGTGTGTGGTTGCTGGGTGAATGTTACTAGATTTGGCATATAAATGATATACGTTGCAGTAGAATTATAACTTGCAGTTTCAGAGAAAAAAACAAGTACGTGGCTGCATAAATTAGTTGAGCATGTGGTTGATGAAGTCATACCTGAATCCGGGTGGGTACAGTCTCAGGGCCTCGCACACCACCATGTCTAAATATTTCAGCTCCTGAACATTAGTGTAATCTGCCGATCCCTACAAGAAACAGCAAGAAGAAATGTATCACAAATATATTTGTACATAGCAGAGAGGATTTTTTTTTTCTCCTTACATAGGTCCCTCCTGTCTCTATATTTTGTGTATATTTTGTGTACATTTAATAGATTTCAGTTTCAGTATTTTCTTGTATTTTTATTTTTACTTTGTTTACTTTCTGTAGAGTGATTACCTGAGCCTCGCCACAAGCATTTCAATGCATGAATGTCCTGACATGTTGTGCAAATGACAAATAAACTTGAAACTTGAACTTTGGATTTAAAAAGGACAAAGTACTTTTTGTAGCAAAACACACCAAGTGATACCATTTTTTGATGGCAAACAATTCCTGAGACCATGATCCACTGAAAGCAGTATTCCACACACTTTTCTCCATAATTGAGATGTAAACAAAGTCATTCGGAGTGGCTTGATGCGAGATGGACTTTCCAACTCTGATGACTTTACAGTTGATAGAAACCAGGGTTTGCAATGTCTATAGTTCAAAGATAGTAGTTTTACTATTCAAAACAACCAGCAAACCTATATGTCTTCCGAGTTTATAGATGTAATGTTGATAAAAGTAAAATAGTGGTAAATGTAATAAAAGTCATTTTATAGTTTTAAAGTCAGTATTTATAAAATTTGGTCCTACTATGTTTTTTTTCCATTTCCAACCTGTCAAACCTCTTTATCGTGATACGTAATGCGTAGCGTGGAAACATCTTAAAGTATTGTGATAGGAAATGCTTTGCATTATCGCCCACCCCCAATCTTAACCATTTAATTATACAGAAATTTTGAAAAATTGGTGGAAGTCAGAACCCTTGCTACATCCTACCTAACACAGGCAATTACTTTCACATTTTGTTTATAACTGGTACTCACATGTACATGCACGTATCTACAAATCAACTATGCATACTATTCACTGTACATACCCGCTGTTATGAAATATCTCATATTGAGTCTGATACTGGTAGAACTGTCAAAGGTTTGGACCTGTCATTGAGTGCATTTACATCACTGCATTTACATAATCTGATCATAATTGTATTTCTGCAGTTATCTGATTATTCAAATAGTCATGTAAACAGCTTTCTCCAATGTCTTAGATTAGAGTAATGTCTAGAAATCTGATTAAGAAATCCAAAAAAGAGAGCTGGATTTTAGCTCAGTAATCAGATTTCTCGGTGCATGTAAACTCTGTAAACTCGGATTTCTTTCAGATTTCTCAGTCTGCGCATGTGCGAAAACAAACCAAAGTCCCGGAAATAAGCAAGCAACGCTGCCACGAGATGGCAGCAAAACACTTTTGGAGTGACGCTGAAACTGACTACATGCTTGACAAAATGAAGGATTTAAATATTCTTCATCTTCTAGATGATATATGTTCATATTTTCATGTAAAGTGACTCGGAGTTTTACATTACGTTTACATCACGTCTTCTTCCATGAATTTGTTGGCCAGTTGCAAAGCAGAAATCAGATTACTGACTCATATAGACCTGGAGTTTTCCCATTATCTGATTATTTAAGTGCACGCAAAGGCGTTGATCGGATTACTAACAAAATCTGATTTTCTGCAGTTATGGGATTATTCAGCGCATGCAAACGCACTCATTGAGAGATCATGAGTGAAATCTTTTATCTATGATATGTATGGTTGTCAAAAATGGCCGATATTATCAGTCAACCAGTATATTATTTAGGCCCTGCTGTACAAGCATTCTGTTTATTTTTAAAGTCTTGTCTATGCTATATTTGGTATTTCTGTTGTACTGTCGGATTCTGAATTCCTTTGTGTTAAATATAGTGTAGTGGTGAGAAAAACGTCCAGCAGGGGGCAATACTGCAACACAATTCAAAGTCCGTCTAGAAAGAAAGGTCATTTCATGTAAATATCCCATAGAGACAGACTCCATCAGTTCATCAAATCATAACAATTTTTTCATAAGCTGAAACATGATCCAATGACTGCATAACTAACTGACCTTAAAATCCAATACCAAACCAGTTTGCATAAGTGGACCTACCCTTTCATATCTGTTATTTTTTGCTCAAACCACCCAATTGGCCTGCAAACCTGTGTGTGCACTGCAGAGATGTAGCACTCCATTTAGGACTGTACTCAATCAGTGTACGGCTTTGTGAATATGGGGGTCAGGGACTAACTGTGAACCCCTCCAGCCTCTCCCCACACCCTCCTCCCATCAGTGTCTGGTAGACAGAGCATGTAGGGTATAATAAATGGCCAGCCAGGCTGAAATCGCTCACTGAAGGCAGCAGGCAGAGGGGCCAAAGGAGCACTCAGGGTGAGCAAGGCTGCCATGCTAGACACAACCTCCACACACGCCCTCATCGTCTGGCTGCGCTGTCACTTCTTGTTGGCAGCCGCACTGATTTTAGAACAGAGCGACATGTCCTTAATGAAAGGCTCGGTGCAGAGCCTGCGAGGATGGAAGCACACAGTGTGTAAGATGTGCTTTTCAATAACACACTCAGTGAAAAGCACACTGGAACACTGTGGAGTAATAGTACGTTCGAGGGCAATCTGAGAGAGAGACTAGAACTAACATGAACTCTGTTGATAACTTAGCATGTTCTATCATCCCCGCCCTTGTCATTCGAAATCAGTTTCAGGGCCGTATTCATAAAACAAGTGTGAGAGAGGGGATGGTCTAGGTAACTGAGGCATGTATGACTCTCTCTGCTTGAACTGAGCTTTCTACATGTTTGCAGAAGAAAAGCAGGATTTGTCCTCATACGCAGGACTTAAACTGAGGTCACTTTTGGCTTAAAGAAATGCCAAATGTGACAAAAATATAATCATTGCCTTCACAAAAGGTCCCTTGGAATGTATTCACTTTTTTAAGAGATGGGACTTGCACAAGAAATGGTCTAAAGAAAATAAATGGAAAAACAAAAATTTCCAAAACTGCAGTTCAAAACATTTTCAAAGATATAGATGGGACTCTTAACAACCATGCAAGACCTAGAAGACCACCAAAACTGTCAGCATCAGATAAACAGAATTTAAAGCGTTCGTCATTGAGAGAGAGGATAAAATAAAGCTCCACTCTTGCTTGAGATCTGATAAAATCCACAGGTATTTCTGTTCATCCTTCCACTGTGAGAAGACAACTCAATCCTATGAATGCAAGCTGTAGACACACTAAATTCTGAAAAAAAATGAAACCATATTTACTTGTTGAGGTTTCTGTGTAATTTTCTATTAAATACATGTTTTCTGATGTTTCTTTTTCCTGATGCTGAAAAATGAATGAACTTCTACTTAAAACACATTTTTACTGGAAATTAAATAAATAAGGATGGTCTCTGACTTTTGTACTATACATACACTGTTAAACAATGATTTGAGGCTCTCACACTGCTAAAGCAGTATATGAATGTTGCTGGAAAGTTACAGGATTATTGAACCCATTTGTATTTTTACTATAAATTGATCTTATCACTGGCGACCTGTCCAGGGTGTATCCTGCCTTCTGCCCAATGACAGCTGGGATAGGCTCCAGCACCCCACCACGACCCAGAAGGATAAGCGGTTTAGATGATGGATGGATGGATGGATGGATTGATCTTATCAAGTAATATAAGATGATATCACTTGATAATATTACTTGAAATAAGTAAAAATATCTGGAAACAGGCTGAATAGTCTCGCAACAGTCACACAATTAGAAATATAAGATATATTGCCTATATTCAAGAATCTTACCCTGTTTAAAACTGTTGTTTACACTGTTTTTTTCCAGTGCACCTGTGTGCTCTGATCTGTCTGATTAACCTTTCCAAAGTTCCCCTGGCGGCATTAAGCTTGTGCTCAGGTCTAGGCAGACTGAACACAAAGCCAAACAGAAAACAGACAGAATGACATCTGGCTGCATCCACAGCACAGGGCATAGAGGGAATATTTCCGGTCTAATAAACGTGCTGGGCCCTGTTTGGAATTACATCCCTGCCCAGCATGAAGCCACACAAGAATAACAGAAATTTGTGGACCGGCACTAAGCTGGTAATGGAGGGCCCAGCGAGGCTGGAGGGCTACCCATCACTGAGCCCTGGGCCACAAGAGGCCCAGAGTGCCTCGCTCACGCTCAGGAAACTGGAGCTTGAAAGGTTGTGCACGTTAGTTTAATTGTGACTCACTTATTTATAAATATACTATATATATATATATATATATATATATATATATATATATAATATATATATATATACATACACACACACACTCAAAGCATCATGCCAAATATATAAATATACTGTAATTTTAAAAGCATCATGTTGATTATTAGCACTCTACAGGCCAGCAGTGATCAGAATAGGGGATGGGATCATATTTCCATAATGCTGTGGCTCATGAGGCTTTCCCTCATTCCCTACTTTTAGCAAACAGATGCAGGGTAGGAGCCAGATCTAGAATATAAAGAGAACTCCACTTATGAATAAATGTATCAGAATCCGTGCCTGATAAGAATCTTATTGGGTATCTGCACCACAGTTACAAACTGTGCTTTGCAGAATCACTAAATGATACAGTAATACCATTTCATAAAGTGAAAATAAACATATGTAAAAAACAAACTAAAACTCTCCAGTGTGGTCTCTTTCCAGAGCCCTACCATGCAATCACAAGACAAAAGACTTCACCGGTACAGCCCGAAACCTCAACAAAAGAAGCTGCGACCTAAAAATAGTGCCTGAATATTGCATTCAAATTTATTGCTAAGGGAAAAAAGGGCCTTGCTACGTTCAAAGAAGCACCCGGCAAAAATAGCTCATTTTCTTTGCATATTTCTGAGCCCCTTGGTATTAATATCAGCCTCTTTTCAGCAAATGAGATTCATTTTGCCCGCGTGTGAGGCATAAGCCGGGCTTAGAGCGGAGGCCCTTATCACCAGCCTGCCTCCTCACGTCTGCCTGCCTTTCTTATTTACGTCTCTCCATTCATTCACATCAGGGCCCACTGGGAACAA